AGAAGAGTTATTATAGGTATTTATAATCTTAAATCTCTTTTAATATATTATAAAAGGGTAAGAGTTATTATAAAAGAGTTATAAAACTTACCTAATAAAGGGGTCCTACTTAATTAATTATACTTATAAGTATTTATAAATAACTTTATCTCTTAACTTATACTTATAAGTATTTATAAATAGTTTTAATAATAGTTTTATATATTATACCTTATTATTAAAAGCTAGTTAGTAATTAATTAATATTAATTAGCTTACTTATATATAAGTCTTAGTAGTTAAGTATAGTAGTGTATATTAGTATTAATTAAAGGTCTATTTAACTAGGCGGTAAAGCGCCTAGTTAGGTTAGCTAGACCTACTAACTAAGCTTAGTTTATATATATATACAAACTACCTATCACTTACTTATAGTAGTTAATCTACTATAGCTTATTATTTCTATAAAAGTATTAGTTATAAGTATATTATTATTTCTTTAAAATATATTTTATTAATTAATAACCTTTTTAATAATATATAAAGTAATACTTTTAATAGAAGTTCCCTTTATTAAACTAATTATTATATTTAAATAAGTAGTTACTATAGCTATTATTATAGTTATTAAATTTACTATATTTAGAAAACTTATTATTAAAGTTATTTAATTATATATTAGAATTTTATAAAAGTTACCTTTATTATAAAAGCTATTATATAAGTAATTTAAGTTATTATTATAATTATTATACCTTTATAATAATAATAATTAAGAAAAACTAATTTTTATTATTATAGTTATAATTTTATACTTTATTTATTTAAAAGTATATTAACTTATTAATTATTAGTATTTATATATTTAAATAAAAGTATATAAATTAAATTATAACTTTTTAATTAACTTAAATAACTTATATAATATTATAATAAATTCTAATATACCCTTAACTATTTATAATATATTATCTTATATAAGCTAATCTTTTTAACCTTATATTTAAATACTTAATAATAAATAAAAGTTTATTAATTAATAATTATAAAACTTATAATTAATTTTTATTTAAATTCTTTTATTATAACTTAATAAATATAAAAATAGTTTAATTTATATAATAGTTTTAATAATTTATTTAATTATTAAACTATAACTTTAACTTTATATAAGTTATATAAAAAATTTATTATATTAATTTACTATATATAAAATATTTTAATTTTTTAAGTATATAAAAATATTAACTTTAATTAAAATAGTATAACTTAAATTATTATAAATAATAAAAATCTTTATTTTATTATTAAATATATTATATAAATTACTATTATATAAATCTTTATTCTTATATATTTTATAAAATTTATAATAAGGTAGTTATTAATTATTTAAAGAATTATTTTAATAGATAGAAGTATAAAGTATTTCTTTTTAAAAGTATGCTTTCTACTATAGGTATTAACTTACTATAGGTCTTTTTTAGTATTAAATCCTTTAAATAGTTAAGGATCTTTAAAATATAAATTAAAAGAAAAGAAAAATATAGTTTTAACTCTATTTTCTTTTAATATAAATATCTTCTTATTTAAACCTTATAATAGGTTTCTTATAATACCTTTATTAAATTACTTAAATTATTTATTCTTATAAATTTAATCTTTCCCTTATAGTTAAATAATAAAATACTTTTTAGTTTTATAAAAAGTCTTTCTTTTAAAGATATATATTAAAATATTTATATTTTTAATAGTATATATATTAATATAAATATTTTTAAATTATAAAACTTTCTTTATTTTATAAAGGATATTTTAATTAATAACTATAAATATTTTTTTACTTTAATTTATAAAGTTTTATTTAAACTTATAAAATACCTTTTAAAATTTATTTTATATACTATTTTATATAAGAAACTACTATATATTTAAATATACTTTTATTACTTTCTTTAAAAGTTAAATTTTATAGTTTAAGATTATAATATTTAATTAAATTTTAAAAGAAGTATATTTTATTTTTATAAATTAAATTATTAATACTATTATAATAATAGCTTTTATTAATACTTTATATAACTTAAAGTAAAGAAATAAATAATAATATAAAGTAAAAGATAAATAAAATATAATAATATATATATATATTTAATAAACTATATATAATAATTAAAAATATTTAAAATATTAATTAAAGAATTAAATAGTTATATATTAAGTATTATTCTTAAAAATTACTATAATATAATAGTTAAATTAAAAGTAATAAATTTTAAATAAATATTAAATCTTTAATAAACCTTATAATTTAAAAGTTATAAATTAAAATAATATTAAAAATAATTTAATTTAATTTTAAGGGCTTTTTTATTTTTATTAATTTAATATAAATATTTTTAATATAATTATAATTAAAATAAAATTTATTTTTAATAAATATTAAAGTTAATTTTAATTATATATTAATAATAATAGTATTTAAACTATTAATTTATCTATTTTTAAGTAAGAGGATTTAATAATAATAGTATTACTAGAAGTATAATAGATATAATAAAAGAAAGAGAGTAAAAAGAGTATAAAAAGGAAAAATTATAATTATAATTATATTTATAAGGTATAACTTTATTCTACTTAATAATATAAGGTAGATATAATATATTCTAACTTTCTATTATAGTAAAGTTTAATAAATAAGTAAATAAAAAAGAATTAAATAAAGCTAAAAGTAATATTTAATATTTATTTATTTATTTAATAAAAGTAATTTTATAAGTTATATAAACTATATTTTTACTTAAAATATTATTTTAATTATAAAAAAGATTACTAATAAGAAAATACTATATATTTTAAGTTTTAATAGATAACTATAATTTCTATAAAATACTTATTAAAAGTATAAATAAAAGCTTAATAATAAGAAAGTAATCTTTAAATTATTATTAATTTTAAGGATATTAAAAGGTTTTTAAAATATAATAAAATATATAAATTATTAATAGAATATAAGGACTCTATTAATATATATTTAATTATATTATTATTAAATTAATAGCTTTATAATAAATAAATATAAAACTTTATTATATTTAACTATATTATTATTATTAAAGTATTAATATAATTATATTATAATAAGGATTTATAAAAATTTAACTACTTTAAAGTAATTAACTATTTCTTTATATCTTACTATTTATAGTTACTTAAAATAACTACTAATTAGTATTAATATAAGTTATTATATATATATATATAAAGAGTAGTTAATTAAGTTAGATTATATAAAAGGGAGGAAGTTAGGCTTAAAAGGCTAGTAATAAGTCCTTTATTATAGTCTACTAACTAGAGTTATATAACCTAAACTATCTACTAGTTGTGATTGCTTCTATTCTTATAGGTATCGTGTTCTTTTCAAGTGCTGGGTTTTAAGTGCTTACTACTATATGAAGGCGCTATGTATGTCCTTGGATGTATACGGAATAGAAGCGAAACTATATAGGTTAATAGATAGAGAAAAGAAGTCCTAGATGACTTTCTCGGGAGGAAGGGCGAGCAAACGGAGATAAGTGCGAAATATTTAATAATAAACTACCTTTTACTATATTAACTTAATTAATATATAATATTAATACTTTAAATATAAACTACCTTTTAATTTTAACTACTTTTTTATATAATTATATTTTTTTTAATCTTTTAATAAATTTATAATTTTTAAAGTTTTTAATATAAAAAGAAAATATTTTTTAAATATATAAATTTTTAAAATAGTTTTAATATAATAATATATTTAATAAGTTATTAAAAAGAATATAATTTATTAATTTATAATTAAAGCTATTAAATATTATATTTAAATTTTTAAAAAGAAAAATTAAAATTAAAATTCTATATATATTATATTAAAAGTAAGTAATTAGAAGGATATTAAGTTAGTCTATAGTTTTACTTAACTAACTATAGAATCACGTAGTAATAATTAGAAAGGCGATAGATAGTACGAGTTCATCTGACTGACGTCCTGAGTAAGCGTCGGGTTCTGAGGTGGCAGAGGCCGCGGCAGCCCCGGGTTACGCCTTACGAGCTGACGATGTAGCCGAAAATAGGCCCAAGCTGGAGGCGACGGGGCACATGTGGTCTTCTTCTTTGTGTGTGTTGCGCCGTGTGGCGCAAACAACCGCGGCAGAGGGTCGGGCCTCGGTCATCCAACTGCCTACTTAAGTAGGTACTTGACAGAAGACAGACAGGTCACAAAGCTGCCGATTGCACCATGTACTCTGGTGTGTAACCTGCGCATGGACGGACGGGTGGGACTCGAGCTCCGGCAAAGGTCAACCGAAGCAGAGGGTGGTAAAGTGGGCCACGGGCGGCCAAGCTTTCTACCAGGTGCTGCACAGCACACGTATCCCGGCCGGCGCCAGCAGCCAGTATCGAGTAGATTGGACGGATGATACGACCGCAGTCAGTGGCGGACTCGCTTATCATCGCTCGCTGATGCCACCAGCGGAGGCAAGGCCACCGTCGTGTTTTAGTTACTACATACACTAGTCGTACAGTTACAACCTGCCAGACATGCATGCTGTCTAATTGTATTTTCCCGCCAGCCTGTTGGTGTCGTATTTCCTGTGCGCTCGTCTCAGTAATCCAATCGCCCGCCCGGCAGGTGAGGTGAAAGTGAGGTGAGCCCTCGTCTTTTTGGCGCCAGCGTAATTCGGCCATGGCTACATGCACTCCGTATATCTATCTATCTATCTGTTGGCCCCCCCCCCCCACCACCACCACCACCACCAGTTTCCGTCGTCTGCCTAGCCTGGGCCGATTGTCTCTCATCTCATCCTCCGCCTGCGCCGCCTTGCCGTTTGGCTTGAAGTACCCTTGTGGCCGCCCCCCCACGCCATACTCCCACCTACCCACCACCCACGCGCCTCCGACCTCTACTTTAATTGAGGCTCTCCTACCTGTCCAAGTCACACAGTCACCTCCTCCGACCTCCAAACCATCCCCGGCCGAAAATGCAGTTCAGAGTCGCGATACAAGCGGTACTCGCCGCTGTTCTCTTTGGCAGTATGGCCTCGGCCAGCCCCGTGCCCTGCCCAGATGTGAGTGGCTGCCATGGCATGTCAGAACCGGCCTGCTAACATACGAGCCACAGTCAAAGCGAGACCAGATCCTCATGGGAACACTCGCGCCCGAGGCATGCTGTTCATATGGCATCTGCAAGGGTGATGTCGTCGTCCAGGGCGGATGAGCCCTGCCCGGCGCCTCTCGACACTGCACATGAATTCACTTTGATTTTTTTTTCTCGGGAACGGGCTCACCGACAACAAAGCACGATCCTCATGAGCAAGATTGCGACTTTGGCGGGGGAATTGACGGGGGAATCGACGGGGGACCTGACGGGGGCAGAGCGATCCTAATCTCCAGAACGAGCTGCATTTTCACGGCGTTATCCGCGCGATTGGTGGCCGACGGTCCCTTTTGTGGGTCGGCCCGACGACTTTACACGCACCCATTCACGGCGTAACGGCGGCAGGGTTTTCCCAAGGTTTCGCAAAGTTTCTTGTCGACCATAATCTCGGCCACTGTATCTGCGGCATTTCTGTACATGGAATGATTGGACTTGGAAAACGGCCTTGCAAGGACGAGTCCTCGACATGAGCGGTGGAGGCTTGTCATCAAAGACTGAGGGATCGCTGCACAAGGATCCGGCAGGAATGGGACTGACAGTGCAGGTGGGCCGTGGCGGGGGGTTGCCTGGCAGGAGCAGGATCCGAACGACATTTCACCTTGGTTGCGTGGCAGGGCCGGCGGCCGGTGTGCATTATCGCGCAGCAGATACCAAAATATCACCGAATGGGGAACCCGGCTGATTTGATTCCATTGCTGGGGCCCGACAGCCCTATCGTGAGGACCAGCTGCATGCAGCCACGCCTCGTATTCGTCGTCGTCGGCGGCGGCGGCGGCGGCACTTTCAAAAGTTGGGCACGACAACCAGCCCGCCCACCTGCATCTGATGGCCAAGCCTCGTGCCGTGAGCCTCATCATCCGGAGTCGGATTCGGATTCTGTGAATGTCGTCGAGTCTATGACAAAACCGTAATTGTTCTTGTGAACGCCGTCAGCCCTGAGGGGGGTTATATATATTATGTATATATACATATATATATGGGGGGACTCAATATGGGGGGACTCACGGCGACATTTGCCAGGCAGACCTCGGTGGCGCCCTCGGTCCTGGTGGCACAGGCGTCCTCGAGCAGGACACAGTCCCAGCCGGCATTATAAGCATCCGTCAGCGTCCCCAGCACGCACTGGTCCGTGTTGACGCCCGCGAACAGGAGCGTCTTCTTGCCCGTGTCCTTGAGGAACCTCCACAGCGGCTGGGCCTCGCTCCACAGGCCGCTCATGCGGTTCTTGGCGCAGCGCACGTCGCCCGCCTCGTCCACCGCCCTCCGGAGCGGCTCGTAGATCTCGGCGTTCCACTCCCCGGCCACGAGGCACCTGCCCCTGCCGCCGCCCAGGTCCGCCCCGAGCCCGGCCCCGGCCCCGGCCCCTGCCCCGCCCGCGTCCGCGTCCCCGTCCCCGGCCACCACCGCCCGCGCGAACCCGCGCGCCACCCCGGCCGGCATCGCCGCCAGGTCGGCGTCGGTGAGCCCCCAGTTCAGCCACGCCACCTGCACCCCGGCCCCGCGGCACCGCTCCACCGCCCGCAGCAGCGGGCCCACCGCCGCCAGCCCGCCCGGGTGCGACCGGCACGACGGGTGCAGGAAGTAGTTCTGCATGTCCACCACCACCAGCACCGCCGACGCCGGCGCCATCAGGATGTGCGTGTCGGGCGGGCCCCGCGTCGTGCGCACCCTGATCGGCGCCGGGAGCCCGGCCCCGCGCGTGAGGTCGTACGTCCTGCTCTGCCTGTCGTACGCCCACTCGTCGCCCGCCGGCCCGAACCTGAGCGTCGAGTCGCTGCTCCGCTCCGTCACCGCGCTGCACGCCGCCCGCAGCTCCGCCTCGTCCGCCACGTCCGGCGTCATCGGCGGCGAGAAGACGCTGAGTGGGAGGCTCATTTGCCTTGCCTTGCCTTGCCTTGCCTTGGCTTGCTTTGTTCCCCGCCTCGGGCCTCTGCTGCGGTGATCCAGGCTTTGTCGCTCAGGTTGTTCGTTGATGGCTCGCGCTCGTGTCCAACGCCCTGCAGGACGTGATACCAGACGCTCCGAGGCAGTAGTAGCTAAAGCTGGCGCAGGATGCGGGGGGGTGGGGTGGAGGATGCCGGTGGTGGCGCCGTTGGTTCCATTGCTCGGCTCAAGTCGCACCCGGTGGCCGCATTCATTCCCGTATAGGCAAGGATGCATTGTAATAATGCGCTGCCGTGCAATGCGTGCCAGCCCAGCCCAGCACCGGACTCGTGACTCGTCAATCGTCTCTATTGATTCGAGGCATCTCGCCCACTTTTGCTCTCTAAGACTTGATATCTGTAATCAAGACAAGAATAAGATGGAATAAGATAACAGCAAGGCAGTAGTAGTAGTAGTAATCGTCATCGTCTTCCCCCCTAAACGCCATGCCATGATAACCGTAGAAATCTCACAATGTTGAGAACCTACTCAAGTGCTCTGCCCCGACTCCGATATATGATATGATGTGTACGTCCCTTCAATCGCCTCCGCCGCCCACAACCAGGGCTGGCCGAGGCCTGTTTCTCTGCGTGACAAACGACTAGTTCATGTCCATGCCATCGTCGTCCTCTGGTTCCTCGGCCTCGAGCGACTGTGTCACGTTGCTGGACATGCTTTCTTTCCTCCTCTCCATGTACGAGCCCCCGCCTTCGAACATGTCGAGCTCCTCCCCGCCAATCACCCGGCCCTCCGTGTCGATCTCCTGCGACAGCTCCACAATCGCCGTTCGGGGGAGCCTCAGGAAACCCGTGGTGCGCACTATGCGACCCCAGTGTGTCAGGCAGAACCCAGCTGCCCGCTTGCGCAGCCATTCCTCGTCTGCGAGCCCCGCGCAGTACCATATGATACAGGCATGGTCGACGTCTAGTTCACGGCTCAGCCGGTTCACACACAGGAGCCGCAGGTGCGGGATGTTGTAGATGTTGGACATGACAAGCAGGCCCGCAATGTCCGCAAGGTCCCTGCTGGGACCGTCAACGCCCTCGTCCTCTGGTGTGGCGTCGATGCGGTCTGTGTAGAGGTAGTAAAGGAAAGCCTTCACCACCGTGTAGGGCTCCGGGATGTGCATCTTTTTGTTGTGGAACTCGGCCATGTGAGAGTCCCACAGCCGTGCAAAGTGGGGCCAGCGAAGATATAAAATGAGCCGGTGTACGTGGATGGCTGGTGATGTCGGCGAGTCCGGTGACAGCCACGTCTGGTCGCCGTCGGCCACATCAGCCGCCCTGATCAGGGCCGAACCAAGCAGGTCTTCCTCGTTTGGATCCCCCGAGAGCGCCGTGACAATGAAATCCGCCCCACTTCCTGCCTCGGGGGGCTTGTTGAATGCCTTGGCAAGATCTGCGCCCAAGCCCTTGGATGGCGTGTCCACGCGGCGCGTCCTCCCCATGGGCTCGGCAAGCTCAGTCCGCGGCTGTGGCGTCAGGTTATTGCCCAGGAAGCCGTATCTGCGGAGATCGATCTCCATTATGTCGCTCAGCTGCTCCTCGAACCCGTTCGCAGCCACGTCAAGGGCAGAAGCGTCGGTGGGGCAGCCAAGCAGCCATGCTTTGGTGCCGTCTTCGTTCATCGTGCAGTAATGCCACCTAAAGCCAGACTTGAAGACCTCTCGGCCCTCGGCGACTTTTTGCCACCGGAGCTCGCCGAGCTCAAGTGCATACAGCGCACATTCCTTGGACGTGATCGTGGCGGCTGGTGTGACGAAATCGAGCAGGTTGCCGGACGAGTAGACGTGGAAGTGAATACCTGGCCCCTGCGAAGGCACATTGGGGCCCGATATAAACTTGTGGGAATGTATCAGGCCGGGTGCCATGGGCGCGTAAGTCTTGATCTGGAAAGACGGGGTGTTGACCTGCTGGGTCCGGGAGTTGGCTGCGTAGCCAGACGCGCCGACGATCGGCGACTGCCCCATCGTGTATGGTGGCCTGGGTGAGCTTTCGCCGCGGCTGCCCATCCCAGGCCGCTCGTAAGACCCGAACTGAGGCGCGCTCTCGAAGGCGGGGCTGCCTTTCAGGTCGAGCCACCAAAGGTCACTCACCTTGTCCATATCTTCACTCAAACCACCAAAGACCCATATCCTGTCGCCCCTAAAGAGAAATGTAATGTCAGTGCCTGTGTGGACTGGTGATGGCGAACATCGAGTGGGTGTCGGACTGACCAGATATATGCCGAGTGGTCGAACCGACCGACAAAACGCCAGGCGCGTGACCAAGTAAAGGTTTTGAGGTCAATGTAACATATATCGTCCAGCACATAGTTATCGTGGCCCGTGATTCCTCCGATAATGAAGAGTTTGTCTTCGTGTAACAGCGCAGAATGACGTGCGCGGCCTTTGGGGATCGGACCAGTGACCTGGGGTTGGGTCCAGTGCGCAGTCTTGAGGTCGAAGATGATCAGATCGGAAAGATACGTCCTATGCTCGTTCTCGCCGCCGAATACAAGGAGTTTGTCGCCTTGGTACAAGGTCGCGGTATGGCCTAGACCGAAGTCAGTATGGGTGGCGGCGGGCACCAGGACTTGTACGTACCCATTCGCACGCCGGGAATGTCACCGTAGTTATCCACCAGACTCCATTGGTGGCTGACAATATCCAGCCGGAGAACGTGGTTGTAGACTTCGTCAGTGTACTGGTCGAAGCCGCCGAAGGCATAGATCTGGTTGTTCCCACAGTACGTGACCGAGGCGTTGACGAGACATGCAGGACGCTGTCCCAGGGTGCGGGTCACCTTGGGCCTGTACCCGTCGGATGCGGCTTTCTTCATTGGGGAGCTGGGCATGACGTAGGTATTGTTGCCGGACGAGGCACTCGCTGGAGTGCGACTGGTGGCGAAGGGCACGAGGGATGTGGACGGGCCTGCTGCCGCCGACGCAGGTGTCGATGCCGCTGGTGGCAGACCGCCGCCGAATAGAGGTTGAGGTGTGGAGGGATCGGACATGGCGTGGGGTGCAGTGGGACGAGGTTTGCTGAAGAGTTTGGCTGGTCACAGCGGCAGCATCTCGGACCATGCAGACTGCGGAGGTGCCGAACGGGTGAAATGTTTTTGTCGCCACCGCTCGACCACGACTTGATCGTGTTGGCTGGTGCTCGGGGGTATTCTGTCCAAGGTTGATGCGTGTCTGCGGTGGGATAGGGCGTCGACGTTTGCGACGGGGCGCTTTCTTTCCCCTGATGTGACGGAAAGAGCCGACTTGGGCTGAAACCTTGGGAAATCCGTGCCTGGGCAAGACGAGGGCCGGGGTGCCGCATTGGGTGACGCCAGCGCGGCTACGACGGCCAGCCGCGACCACCCCTCTCGGGCCGGCTGCGGCTGCTGGTCCACAGCCATCCGTCGTCGCCCAGGAGACGACCATGTCTATGGGATTTAGTCAGCAAAAGCCATTGATCACCTTGAGAGACACTGATATATGTGATATTTGTGTACTTGTGTACATACAAGAAAGAGGCCGCCAGGCCACTAGGCCTACCGAGTACAAGTTGGATACCCTAGCTTGGTCTGCTAAGTAGCACACGCTTGTGATGCACCGGCGGCTGCGCCAACTGGGCAAGCGCGTGAGCTAGGAGCGATGGTTGCCGTGCCAGCGCTCGCACGGCCCGCCGGTTTGTTTACTTAAACAAGGGCACCCCCCGCCCAGAACCCATATGTTAGGACACCAAACCTCAACTCTACACACTCTTGGGCACGCACTCTGTCAAGCAACGCAAACCCACACAAGAACCAAAAATCCACTCTCAAGACAAACAAACAAACAAACACACACAAACACACACACACACACATACATGACCACAAGACGTTCTCAGGAACCCACACCTCTCACACATCTATCACTTGTCACCTCTGTTAAGTCGGTCCAGATGGCTACTCCTTCAGTATCGACACCGCTCAAGTCCCACACCGGGCTGTTCTCATCCCGCACTGCTGGCGGTCGGCTGCCGCTCACGCCGTCGCCCCGGTCACGCACAACAACATCGATGCCTGTGAACCTGCAGTCATCGCCCTTCACACCAGAGCGCACCAGTCAGCCAGAAGCACACCGACCGGCGCACAAGTCAGTCTACGGCGGAAACCTCACGGCACATCTCGCTAGATCAAGCGCCAAGTCAAGGCAGCCTCAGCAGAACTCGCCCAAGTCCAACATCGCTCGCTCCACGGCCACGCCTAGAAAGGCACTCGAGCTCGGGGTATCCGACTTCACCCTGACTGGAACCGGCAAGTACTACCAGTGCAAGTCCCCTGCCGGCGCAAAGACCAAGGCCACCGCCACCAAGTCCGCCTCATCCAAGTCGGCCACTACAAAGCCGGTCCCGACCAAGTCAAGATCCAAGCAGCCCAAGGCGGTTCCCACCCACGCCGCCGACCGCTTCATCCCCAACCGCGGTGCTAGCTCGGCCATCGTTAACACCGGCTCTGGCAAGCCTGACGGGCCGTCCAAGAAGAAGAAGGTCCACCTCGGCTCAGACTCATCCGCCATCCTGTCCGCCGCTGCTGACGACGCTATCGCCGCCCTGGAGGGCCTGAACTTTGACAACGACGCCGACACTTCCTCGGAGGATGTCGCGCGCCCCTCGCCCAACACCGTGGCATACCAGGACTCCCTCGCCAACGCTTGTGGCGTTAGCATCAACACACGCATCCTCGAGTTCAAGCCTGCTGCACCCGAGTCCTCCAGGCCTGTCGACCTCCGCAAGCAGTACAATCGACCCATCAAGCCAGCCAATGCCGCCCAGTTCCGCCGTCGCATTGCCACAGGTCCTGACCGCGTCTTGGATGCACCTGGCCTCATCGACGACTACTATCTCAACCTTCTCGACTGGAGCTCCGGCAACCAGGTCGCCATCGGCCTCGAGCGCAACGTCTACATCTGGTCCGCCGCCGAGGGCAGTGTCAGCTGCCTTCTCGAGTCCAGCCCCGATACTTACATCAGCAGCGTCAAGTGGTCCGGCGATGGCGCCTATGTCGGCGTAGGCCTTGGTTCCGGGGAAATCCAAATCTGGGACGTCACCGAGGGCGCTAAAGTCCGCAGCATGTTTGGTCACGACACTCGCGTTGGCGTCATGGGCTGGGACAAGCACCTGCTCTCATCTGGCGCACGAAGCGGCCTGGTCTTCAACCACGACGTCCGCATCGCAGAGCACAAGGTCGCCGAGCTCGTTTCTCACACCTCGGAGGTCTGCGGCCTGGAGTGGCGCTCTGATGGCCAACAACTCGCCACCGGCGGCAATGACAACCTCGTTTCCATCTGGGATGCTCGTTCGCTCTCTGTACCCAAATTCACCAAGACCAACCACAAGGCTGCCGTCAAGGCTCTTTCCTGGTGCCCCTGGAACTCCAACCTGCTCGCCACCGGGGGTGGTTCTTACGACCGCCACATCCACTTCTGGAACACCACCTCTGGAGCTCGGGTGAACAGCATCGACACGGGCTCTCAAGTCACCAGCCTGCGCTGGAGCCCCCATCACCGCGAAATTGTCAGCTCAAGCGGCTTCCCTGACAACTCTCTCACCATCTGGAGTTACCCCAACCTTGTGCGCAACATCGACATCCCTGCCCACGAGAGCCGAGTGCTACACAGCTGCCTCAGCCCTGACGGACAGACGCTCGCAACAGCAGGTATGTGTCGCCTCGCACCCTTCTCAATTGTCCAACGATACTAACTTCCTTTTAGCCGCAGATGAGAGTTTGAAGTTCTGGAAGCTTTTTGAGAAGAAGCCTAGTGCGACTGGGTTTTCTGGTGCTGGCTCCTCCAGCAAGGCCGCCATGGTCAAGCAGATGACGATCCGTTGAAGTGAGAAGATTGCATGATTGGAAGAAAAATAAAACATGAATGGATGCAGAATAGATTGATGCAGAATGGATGGATGAAGAGTGGATGGATGAAGAAAGGCACGTACGAATATGGGGGTGGAAGGAGGTGAAAGGCCTTCGAACACCATATAAAAGGTACGTGACATACTCATTCCCCAGCTGTCAACCCATACTAACAGAAACTTTTTAGGATGCTGTATTGGGAAGTGACTCACCAGGAGCTATTGAATCAAGGTCTATTCGCCGCTACAGTTTGCGGGTTTCCCACCGCGAATCAATTTGAGTCCTTCTCATTGGCAAGCCTGCCAAGCAGGGGCACTGGCATGCCTGCAGATGGCTTAGAGCCCGGACTTTTGGATGCCTCTCGAGAGGATGTCTGCCGCGATTGGACTCGCGGACACTCGCCGATCCAGTGCGGCTGTAATGGATGTGGCCAGAAAGATTATGATTTGTCAAAAGTAGGGCACTGGGGTCCCGGAGTCAAAGGAGTCATGGGGGGGGGCAGGTGTCATTGCTCATGGTTTTCATGGACTGGCGTTTTTCCCGGCCTGGTGCTGGTGTTGAATCGGTGGAATCAACCTAAAGGGAATCACTGCTTCAGTCATTGCAGTGTATACAAATGTATTGAATAATAATACAGGACTTTTTCCATCTCACTACCTAGGTATCTACCGTCCAGATTTTGTGTGGTGCCGCAACATGAAAAAGGCAGCCCGACAACCCATATCAGGTATCTCCCGCAGCGAGTCGCCTTTCGCAGTGGATGATTTCCCTTGGCGACTCGGCCCCGAAGATAGGACACAGCGGGCTGTCAGACAGGACGACAGGTCGTCGCAGTGCTGAGTACATGCCCCAATTATAGCATATGCATAGGCACCGCCGTCCGGGTCTCAAAGCGGCTAATTACTGTATCTCGGTGATATCTTGGACAGCCTCTCTTTGAATCTTGAAAACGCATCGAGGGCTAGCAGGAGTGGTGGATTGCTAAGCGCACCAAGCCACGGCACCTTGGCAATGTGTGAAGCGCGCTTCTCGGGCCTTCGCGGGTAGCATCCTGCCGCTGGTGATATATGTCCGAGCCAGCGAGGTTAGTAATGCACGCACGATGACAGAGCAGCCACCCCGGTCTAGGCTGCCGCGCTGTTTGAGACTGCAGGCCTGTACGCTTGTGCTGACCAACTCTCCAGCTTGAGGTCCATTGACGAGCAGCTTCAATGCTGGCAACCATCAGGACATTGCGAAACAATGGGGAGCTGACACGTTGAGCGAGCGTGTGTCGTCGACATGTATAAGTAGATCGTCGTGCCTGTGGAATGAAAGGTCTTGAAGCTCTTGTATACCAGACATCAACATTGCTTTCAACGTCACCTCTGACCAGCTTGTGATTATACAATCATCCATTCACCTATCTCTCCAAAGAACCCATCAAGCCCATCCTCAAAGTCATCTGCGATGGCATCCAAGAAGATCATCACCGTTTTTGGCGCCACTGGCAAGCAGGGCGGCTCCATCGTCCGCACATTTCTGAATGATCCCAAGCTGAAGGATGCCTGGGCTGTCCGAGGAGTTTCTCGAAGTGTGGAAGGCGAAGGAGCCAAAAAGCTGTCTGCTCAGGGAGTCGAGGTTGTGGCTGTAAGTTTGGACTTCCTTGTAGCTTACTTCCACCTACATGGTCACTCTACCATAGGAGTCTCTGCCATAGGAGGCTCTCCGTTGGGAGGTTGAGGGATAGATAACGTGGCTGTGGAGTAGACACTCGAGCAGATTTAATGACTAAACCATGTGCAGGCCAATCTCAATGACAAGCCCTCTCTGGTCAAGGCGATGACAGGGGCTGCAGCCGTGTTCGCAATGACCAACTACTGGGAAAAGATGGACATGCAGCTTGAGATCCAGCAAGGAAAGAACCTCGCCGACGCTGCCAAGGAGGCTGGGGTCAACCATTACATATGGAGTTCTCTCCTCAACGTCACCAAGCGTAAGTACCATTCTCGGCCTGCCTGATCCGTATTCCGACCCCGTGAATGCAAGGACGCCAGCTCACGTACAGACACAAGTGACCAACGGCAAACTGCCTCATGTGCACCACTTCGACAGCAAAGCCCTAGTTGAAGATTACGTGCGTGAAGAAGCTGCCGGTGCCCGAGGACGCCCCATTCCCCGTGTTTGACGCGGGCGAGGACACGGGCAAGTGGGTCAAGGCCATCGTGCTGCAGCGTGAGAAACTGCTGGGAAAGCGGGTGTACGCGGCGACTGCGTACCTCACGCCGCTGGAGATGATTGCCGGGTTCAAGAAGGTGTTCCCGCAGGCCGGGGCGTCGGCGAGCTTCCTCAGCACGTCGCACGAGCAGTTCGTCGGCGCGCTGACGGGGAGTGGGATGCCCGAGTTCGCGGCCGAGGAACTGCTGGAGAACATGAGGCTGATGGCTGAGGGAGGAGACTTCGGGGGGGGAGGACTTGTCGCTTGATATCCTCGAGGACAAGCCGACAACATGGGAGGAACACCTCAGGAAGAGCCCGGCCACCAAGGACCTGCAGTAGGCTAGGCGGGCAGCAGGTTTTGTTGGCAGCCATGGGTTGCTGCCGACTTTCTTTCTTGCGACATCCCTGTGAGGCTCTCGGAACGGCTTTGCTTTCTTTATGTTTGGCAGTGGTGTGAAGGAAAGATCAAATGGCGGCCGCTTGTGTTTGTTGCATGCCTGGGTTGGCAATAATCCATGGATGGTGTAAATGAATGTCTTGCAGTCTGATATGCCCAGGTGAATAACCTGGCCTGAAGTGAAATGTATGATTGCTGCAGTAGTGGAACGGCCAGAACATTTGAACAAAGCATTGGACAAACAAAACCTGGAATGGCAGGATGGCTTTCTGGCAGTGGCGACAAAGAGCCAACCAGGTCTTATTAGCGCCTACTACCAGTTGCGGCTGCTGCTGCTGCTGCTGAGACGGCAGGCGGTGGTCAGGGGGGGGGGGGGGCCGCCGGATGCCTAGCTTAGGTAAGCGGGCAAAGTACTTAGTCGCCCTTCCCAGATAAAAGCGAAACTTGGGCCATTACAACTCCTGCTGTCAAGACCGACTCAAGCGTCAGCCAGCCACCAGCTTGCGACCAAAAGCCCCATCTGGAACAGAATACCATCGAGAAGGAGGAGAATTTGACGGTAGACCCTGGATCTGGTGGATTGCAAACCCCGGCACCCAGGTTCTGAGGCTCTGGAGGCCACGAGGGGCTTCTTGGTAATCGATCGCTTATTAGGGGACCCGAGGGCCTCTCTAACTGCCCTTCGCTTCCTCACCTGCACCCGCTGCTACCGCTACGGGTGGTGCTGCTGAGTGCCGCCGCCGCGACCACAGCAGAGCGCCGCATATCCTCCGCTTTCGCTCTCGCTTGCCTACTGTGCGCACACTGCGCAGTGGTTATTACGCTTGTCGCACCTGCTGCATTTACTTTGCACCCGCGCGGCCAGCCAACCGCGTGTGCACGGCGACAACGGGAGCACGAGAGGGGGGCCTGTCAGGACTGCTGGGCTTGAGCAGCAACTACGCTTTGTCACGGCGCACGCCTCCGTCACCGTCCCTCCCCGGCCGAGATCTGCGGGACCAAGATGTCGAACGTTACGGTCGGAAACATCTACCACCAGATCATCAATGAGGTGATCGAGGCCTCACGGGTCGACTTTGAGGACCAGGGCGTCGGCGAGGAGGTCCTGGAGGAGCTGCGCAAGGTGTGTTTCCTGTCATAGTCACCCAACCCCTGAGGCTTCTGGTTCCATGCTTCACTCCTCACTCCCCATTCTGTGCATCGAAGTCGGTGTCGGGTTTGGATTGCACCCGTCTCGCCTCCTCCCTTGCAGAGCACGGTTGGCTGGGCGTTGACTGGGCTGCCTGGGCCGCCTGGGCCGTTTTGTTCGCAGCAGCTGCAGGCAGCGGCCGGTGGCGCGGATTGCGGGTCAGAGAGCGAAGAAGGGCGGGCGGCTGGGAGTCAGGTCTGACACGGGTGCCCGGGTGCTATTTGGGTCTTTTAAGCTCAACCCCTGCCACCCCAAGATTGGCCTTGCCACCCCAGTCAACCTTGCCCCTCCTTTTCTGATTGGAGCCAACTCTGTTTCCCCTTCACGTGCACCCGAGCATGACACATGAGGAGAGGCATGAGGCAGCCTGCAGCCTGCAGCCTGGCGCTGCCCCTCCCCTCCGGCCTAGTGGCTTATTGTGTCCATATCGTCCTTATCTGCCTGCTGGATTGCAGCGTTATTAGGGTGCTGCAGTGACTGCAGACCCCACTGGTTGCTTGCACGATGCTGACGGCTGCGGCCTCTTAGGGATGGCAGGTGAAGCTATCCAAGCTCCAGGTCGCCGCCTTTCCGTGGGACCCTCCCCCACCGCCTCCGGCGCAGGCCCCGGCTCAGGCACAGGTCCCGGCCCAACCTCAACAGCCCGGCCCTGCTCCTCAGGCTGCGCCTGGTGTCCCGGCTGCTCCTGCTCAAAGGATGGGCACACCGAGCTACACATCGGCAACACTCAGCCCCCAGCCCGCGCCCACCGCCCAGCCACAGCCGTTGGCTAATGGTCTTCCTGGGCCTTCTCAGGTTGCCGGTGGGTACTCCGCCCGCCCCGAGTCCGTCAAGCCCGAGCCCGTGGTCAAGCAGGAACCAGGCCTAGCCAACAATGGCCTACCACCAGTGGCCAACCAGGCAAACACATACAATACTCCTGCCGCTCAGCGTGCGGCGTCGCAGCTACAGCACCATTATGGCCCCAGGGCAAGCGCCAGCATCGCCGCCTTGCAAAACTTCACGACAGATCCTGTTGCTAAGGGAATGACCCAGGGTCAGTTGGAGGCTAACGCCGCTGCTGCCGCTGCTCAGCGCAGGAATGGCCAGCGTCCACCGCAGGCACAGTACAGCCAGCAGATGGCCAACCAGCTTGCTCAGCAGCAGCAGCAGCGTGGAGCCCAGCCGCCGCCACCCGGTCCCGGACAGCAGAACAGCGGCTTTCAGCAGTCTCAGGTCGATGGGACCGCGGATGACTACGAGGGCGTCTTGCTGCGTAAAGACCAGAATGGAGAGACCTCCGAGGTCGGCCGTGTTGAGATCGACCGCATGCTCCATGATCAGATTGCTACTCGAGCCAAGCAGATGGAGGGCGGGGGTCTGATGTTGCCGCTGAAAGAGGCCACCAAACACAAGTCGATTGGCAGGAAGACGGCCCACAGCGGTCCATCAGGATTTGACGGGGGTTTTGATGGTGTTGACGACGACATTAAGAGAGAAGAAGCGGATGAGGACGCCATCAATTCCGACCTTGATGACCCTGACGAGGTCGACATCGCCGACGACGACGATGAGGAAAACATGGGTCACATCATGCTTTGCATGTATGACAAGGTCCAGCGAGTCAAGAACAAGTGGTGCGTCACTACCCGAATAGGAACCTTAGCAACGGAGACTAACCCCGGAAGCAGGAAGTGCACAATGAAGGACGGTGTTCTCAACGTCAACGGAAAGGACTACGTCTTTCACAAGGCGACTGGTGAGTATGAATGGTAAGCCGCCCGATAATCTGACGGCGTCCAAGGATTGGATGCGTTCCGACACCAATGTGGTGGTTTCGTATCCTTGCTTGGGTCGAGACCTGGGCCACGATTAACGGCCGATTCACCGACTCTCCTTACTTACCAAGCAGTGGGCCTACCTTTTGGGCAGGTTTCTGGTCTTTCCTTTTGAAAAACAAAAAACAAAACAAAAAACAAATTAATTGCGCCACAAGGCATTGTATTCCAAACTGGCATGGATACGGTAGCAAGGGCTGAGGTGAAACCTCAACTAAAGCTAGGAGCAAACGAGGAATGCCGCTGCGCACCCTTGCGGGGCAGGTCGAGACATCAGTTGGCTTTTGGAGGGTGTGACCCTTACTACATTTTCTTTCCCTTGCCCTACTTCTGGGCGGCGTAGGGTGCGCAGCAGGAAGCGTTCTCGGTTGGCTGCGTGATAAGCACAAACAAGATAGCAGGATACTATGCCACAGCTGCCGCAAGAGCCTCGATATGGCCTACTGAGCAATACACTGGATTCATGCATATTCATAGAGAATGTTCCACGGTTTTCAAGACGGGGTTGAGAGTACTGTTGAACCCGTGTAGCTAACTAGATACGTCACTCTGGTAACGTTTTCCTGGCCGCTCGGGCAGGGTGGCAGATCATTTTTGAGTCTCTCGATAGCGGTTGACCTCCTGAAGTCGGCTGCTGGACCTCTCATGTGTTCGATTGGGGTATGAACAAGGGCATCTTGTCGAGGTTTGAGGCCTTCCTGAGACCTTGTGTAACTAGAGCGACTGGTGCTTGAGTCCTGGGAACGTTAACACTAGTCGGGTCGCAATGGGCACATATTCACTCTGGTGCGCCCACTTAATTTAATCCATGGCCGAGGTTGTTGTTTCAGACGATTTGAATGGTTGTGAGAGCAAAATGCTCAAGTAATCTGCGTAAATCCCTAGATAATTTTACCAATCGGATTGCAGGCTGGAAGATCTCCAGGCTAGACTGATCCAATAAGCAGCGCTCTGTTTGTCTTGTGTATTTTCATCGGGGGCAGATGAATACTGACATCGAGTCAGTTGGTGAAGAGTCTCATCGCCAATGTCTCAGATTATGGAAAGTAGACGCAACTCCTTTGCAATGTGGACAAATAGTCGTTCTGTGTAACGCGACCACCCTTGGGGCTGGCTTCTAATAGTACCCAAATAGGCAGTCTAGGAGCACTCCCGCAGGCTTACAAAAAACTAGGCGGCTGCCTACCTTATGCACGCGTGAGCTTCACCTCCCAGACCGAAACAAGACTGTACAAGTTCAAACCGCAAGCGCTTGAGAAAACTGGCCACTTGCTTGAATACGATGGCAGAAACTGTTGCTGCGGAATGGATTATATTGGTCTGCTCAAGTACCTGCACTCTGCGGCTTGGGCAGGATTTGATTCTGAGCTGAGCTCTCGCTGGGCGGACACGAAGAGCCCGACCGTGACCACCTGCTTGGATTTCTTCCGGCGATCATCACTGTGCTTCAAGGCATTCCTGGCAAGCCTTGCCTGTGTTCGTCCTTCCAAGTTGCGGCATCAGTCCAGGGGTTTGTATGGTCAGTCCTATTACTGAGTAGTTATATTAAGTTTAGAGTCTACAAGGACAAAAAGAGGCTTGAACCGACGCCACCGGTTCATATGGCCGTCGTCAACTGATAGAACGGCAGCATCCCATCGACACCACCATCGGTTCAAATGCGCTTCAGCGAAGCCCAGTCTCGCCGGGGTTGCAACGCCTCGGCAAACTGGGGTTGGGGGCGAGCCAGGTCGTTGTGGCGAGCCTCTGAGAATTTCCTGGGAAGCGCAAACCTTGTCTCAGCTACAAGAAAGAGTCGGTCAAAGGTATAGCCAGAAGCCAGGCGCATGTGGGCTTCTCGACCGGGCTCTTCGTTCTGTTCTTGGCTTGCGCTCATTGATCGAGTGGTTTCTTTTTGGGCACGAAGACCAGGGACAAGGCACTTGCAGCCCGCAGCAAGGCCCGGGCAAACAACTCTGGACAGGTTTGGAGCAAGGCCGTCTGCCAGGGCGGGCAGGGATAATACCGCATGGCCCAGATCGCGACCCGCAAGCGCTCAAGTGCCATGGCATGGCTCGATCGACCAAGGCGATGGAGGGCCCCCGAGGCATCATGTATCATCAAGTGTGGGGCGAGCCAGCCGGCCAGCGAGCAAGCCTCACCCGAGCAGCAGCTTAGGCTGACGCAGACCAGGTAGAGATAGTACACAGCACTATGTTACGACGTGGGTGGCAAGGCTACCAGGGCTACCTTGGTGTGCGTGCGGGTCCGCCTGACTCCAGTACGGAGAAAGGTGTTCACGCTAGGGTGCCTCGGAAGTTATGTACCTGTACATCTGTGGCCACTGCGCCAAAAGCACCTCTTGCTGGGCCATGACCAGCTCCAGATTACCTGATTATTCAACAGTGCGGGCCTCTGTTTTGCGGGCAACTCCTGAACCGAGAGGGTGGACCAAGAACCACTGCGGCGCAATTCCGTCCCCATTGCCTTGCCAACCAACATTGACGATGACAACAAAGCGACCTGCGCCAGGGCCAAAGTCCAGAAGAAGAAGCAAGATCCACGCTGTTCTCGCCGAGGTCGCCCCGTCTGAATACTGACTAGGAGCATCCACACCTGCTGGGCAAGGTTTCACGACGCCGACATCCCATGCTGTCCTTTGTCGAAGCGAGCCAATCCAATACGAAAGCAACATCTCGACAGAAGCCAACACCCACCTTCGAGCAACCTGTATTGCATTCCGAACAAGCGGAATCCCAAGTCTTGGTTGCACAGACAGCGACCATTCACGTAAACCAACCATCGAGTCACGCTCCTGGGAAGCTTGCTGGCCAAGGTGGCAGAGCGGCCACGCATCGGTGCACCTTTACAAACGGATAGGAGCCAGCAGTATCAGGTCGGGCTCTTCTGGTCAGGAATCTGTTGAGCCACAATAACAAAGTTGTGAGTGCGTTCAACGGCTGTCGCCGCATGCAGGCTTTATTGGCTCCCACGGGCTTTGGTGTGATGGACGGGTCGCAACAACTACACAAGGGAACGGCAATTCTTCAAAGCCTTACCAAAAGTATATTGCTCGAGCATGGGGGTACAGTATCTAGGTTTGAACATCGCTTTGCAGGCCGGCCGCCTGTGAAGTGTTCTTCTCTTCTTCCCTGACAATTGGTGCGTCGTTCCCTCTTCGCCAGTGACTATCGATGGCCTGAAAGAGAATCGTCTGACTCTGAGACGCACTCGCCTAGTATGGAGAAAGGAACACTAGGGCACAAGGCTTCCAAGGCCGTCGGAGTGTACCACCTGTTTGGCTTGTATAGTTTATTGGTTTCTTTGTCAATATTTTGCTGGACTTTTAAGCTTCTAACCATACCGTATCTCAACTGACTAGTGCATCCAACAGAAAGCCTTATAGGACAATCTTGATTTCGCTTTGTGCTCCAACAACGTAACCCATCATCGAGATGTGACACCACCCCTCAAAGGAAGTCACCCCGTGACTATAGGGTTACCTTGGGTGACTGGCACGATAGGAGTCTTGCTATCAGACACCGAGTAGTGATTAGCAGTTGTGGTTACAAAACATTGAGCGCTGGGTGAATGCTACCGAGGACTCGGGTCGTGCTTCACCACATAGGCCATTCGAGACACCAAGAAGCCGGTCCAAGCACGGCCCTGTGGTTTGAGCCGTATATGGCTTGACAACTCAGAGCCAAATTAAAACGTGACAAGAAGTGGGAAAGTGCCAATGGCGAGGAGAAATGGTGGTATACCTCAGGGAAAGTGACCCGGCACGGTGGGAACATGCGGGATTGTGTGTTGTGCTGTGCCGCACGCCAACTCGCGCGAGATGGATGAACAGACAGGATACTGACCAACAACAGACTTGGAACACGGCGTTGGGGAGGAGGTCAAAGTGCATATTCCATGCACCATCCGAGGCGAGGCTAGGCATCTCGATTGAGACAAAAGGACCTGGCATTAGCCTGCTCCATGGAGTTGGAAACCTAAGTCTTGTGTTACCCGAGCGGTTGTATTCATGCCCTCCATCTCACCTGCACACACCACCATGGCCCCAGACGCGGTAGGCGGAACCCGGGACTTTTACCCGTAACATGGGGCGTCAGGGTTCTTTTGCCTTGTTGGCTCTTGCGAAACCCCTTCCTCCCAAACATTTTGAAACCCACAGACGCAGGCCTTGTGTAGATAAGCGACGCACTGCGTCTGCAGCTGGGGCGCATTGTTAGTCCTGCCGCTGGCATTTCCTCTACGCCGCACACCTCCTCTCCTGCTCGGCATACGTCGGTGGAGTAGTGTTCAACGGCACTGCTGTTCGAGTGGGTGTCCCGGGCCCGATTGAAAGGGGCTCGGACACTGGAACCCGGCGTTGATGTGACGAGGGAGGCAATGGTATTCGCGGCGATACGCTCGAGCCCCGGTCTTCAAGTCGTTCCAGAAGACAGCCGGGTTGTTGGTCAGTCCCACCTCGCCTGATCGCACCAGATCTGGGGTTCTTCCGGTCTGCCGGTGAGACGCAGCTAGTAACCAACATCAACGTGGGTATATACCGTGCGATTGGTAAGTAGAAAAAGGACAGTGGGAGGGTCTGTTGGTTGGAAATTGGGGAAATTGAACCGGCCGGTGCTGAAGCTCACTTCTTGATGTAGGTTCTTCACAGGGGTGCTCCTCTGATTACGACCACGCCACAAGGACAAGTGTAGATGAGATCTGATAGCGAGGGCTATAAATTTCGAGTGTGGCAACCATGATCCGACTGGATTTATTGAGGCTTCACAAGAGCCACTTTCTTTTTGCCTTATTTGTCAGGGTCTTGGGGGCCTCGGTTTGAGCCGCGACGAAACCAGATGGGTCCCGCCCGACATTGCTTCCCCCAAAGACAAAACAATCACGTTACTGCTGCTACAGGCAGATCTGTGGGCGAGACGAGCAGCATCTCTGCATTTAATCTGGGCATCTGTGCGGCGCTGTGAGCGACTGCGGCGACGAAGGAAGGATACGGAAGCTGGGAATCAAGGGCGTCTTCCTACGATCTATGAAAAGGCCAGCTGAGATTTCCGCTGGCAGATGATGTAATTTTGCTCCGGGGCTGTCCCGGCAAGACCGAAACCGACTGCTCGGGCCCTGGGAGATGACGAGGCTTTCTGAATACAGCTGAGATGTCGTGGCGGAGCAATGTGCCATAATATAGCCCAGGGAAGACTTGGCCGTCCAGTCGCCCTGTGATCATAATATTTTCCAACCACCATGGGGGAGCTGCAGCCGCTCCGACTGGGAGGCCGCAAACCCGGACCCCGGCCACCTGCTCATGGGTGCGTGAGGGACGGACCCGACAGCTTGGTATCTAGGATTCACACGAGATTGGACTGCGCCGTAAGAGCGAGTCGAAGGCCGCGCCGGCTTGGCGCCCCGGTGCTGGTAGCGGCCGCTCTTGCCAAATGAGGCAACTCGGGGTGCAAGTATGTGACCAACCGTGTGTTAGCAC